TTTCCTATTTTTAATCCACTCACTAATAGCGGGTTAATTCACCACGCTCATTTTTTGCGGGTTGTAGATGTGGCGAAGCGAGTTGACTCATTTTACCATATCTAATGAACCACTAGAGAATTTATGGAAGTCCATGATGGCAAAGGTCAAAAGATAGAATTTGTAAGTATTAGGATAAATTTTATCATTTATTTTATGATCAATACTAATAAATAATAATGAACTTTTTTTATATTCTTTATTATTGAATATATGTAGAGAGAGGTGATATTTACAACTTATTTTCACTTACAATATCTTACAATCACTTTTTTATGGATAAAAATTTGGCTTTTTGACCATTGTGCCCCTTATTAATTAAAAAATAACCAATTGCCCCTTACCCAAAATATCTCACCAATCTGCCCCTGTTTGACCATTGACTGAAGTTGTAATCGATTACAACACGGGCGTAATCGATTACACATTCAAAAAAAAAAACTTACCCCGTTATGTAATCGATTACATAACGTCTGGGATACAACCCAAGAGCAAGATTAATGCAATTATAATTCCAGCTTTGAGGAATTTCGTGAAGAGAATGATTTTTGAGACCGTCATTGATTTCATCGTTCATTTGTTTTCATATAAGGAAACCCACCCAACAAGGTTGTCCATGGCTGTTTCCTAAGCTGCAGAGGAAAGGCCAAACAGATATGCCATAGGGGTTGACAATGGAGAATAATGCGTATTTAGCGTGAGAGTTTCGATTTACTACAAATAGCTTGTAAGATTTTTATTATAAGCTATTTCTAGTAAATCGAAACTCTCATGTTAAATACGCATTATTCTCTATCGTCACCCCCTATGGCATATGCGTTTGGTCTTTCTTATGCAGTACGGGAAGCATCCATGGACGAACTTCTTGGGTGGGTTTCCTTCAGATGAAAACAAATGAACGATGAAATCAACAACGGTCTAAAAAATCATTCTCTTCACGGATTTCCTCAGATCTGCAATTACAGTTGCATTAATCTTACTCTTGGATTGTATCGGAGACATTATGTAATCAATTACACACTATAGCGTAATCAATTCCTTTTTTTTGAACGTGTAGCTGATTACGCCCGTGTTGTAATCAATTACACCTTCAGTCAACAGTCAAATAAGGACAGATTGGTGGAATGTTTTGGATGAGGGGCAAATTTGTTATTTTTTAATTAATGAGGGGCACAATGGCCAAAAAGCCATGAAAATCCAATCAATGGTTATAAAATAATAGTAAGTGAGAGCCGTTAATTTGATTTTGATATAACAACTAAAAAAATTTTGTAAGAGAAAATAAGTTATAAATATAACATTTCTCTTCAATAAAATATAGGTAAGTCCTGTTAAATAATCTGAAACTACTTTTCACATAAAATTTTGGGATTATCATTTATGCTTCGGTTACAAATTTTTTTTCTATCAACGAGACATAAAAAGGAATGGCCCCGTAATTATTTTCTCTCTGGTTCCTCTATGCTTTCTCTATGATTGTTTTATGCAATGTTTTAAAAACAGGCTCGGATCGGTCGGCTCGACCTGGATCTCGGTGTTAGTATATGGATGTCCTAGATACAATCTTTTGATTAGATTAGGAAATATGTGGACCTTTTATATTGTCGCAAATAAATAAAAGCACTCTTTATCCTGTTTCATATTTTGTCTCAATATTATTGTTAATATTTTATATGAGTAACTAGATAAACCCCTTAGAATAGAACAGGTATCTCTTGAGTATCTGTGATGAGATCACGATCATGAGGATTCAAGGATACCGCACGTTTATTCCTAATTTTATGTTCCTAGTCTAGAGACACTGAGAATGGGGATCAGTGATCTCGGGTAAGACTAGCACGACTTATCTACTTGTATTTGGATACAAGGTAAAGACCTCATGTGCTACAGATATGGAGATGTCTCAGCTAAAGTCGTGGGTGGACCTATAAGGGTATATCTCGCACTGAACAGACCCACAAAGAGACTTTATGAGAAAATCTCACAGATAATATCATTAGAGTAGTTTCTTTATATTTGGGTATGTCTTTCCTTAGACCAGAAGTTATTACTTAGACTGTGTTCTAGAAGGCATGCTTTGATTGTATACCTCGTCTTCCTGAAACATGGAGACTCATAGGTACATTGTTGGGCTTGTCCTGAAAGAGCACAAGGCTAGGGTGATAAGCTGAAGGAATTCGTCAAATCTTTGTGAGAGATTAGGTTATCTGTAAACCGGAGAAATCGGGATGACATTTACAGGAACTCGGGAATCTATGCATAGTAAAAGAGATCATGAGATGATCTGCCTTTAAAGTCAGTAAATTGAAGATTCCCTATTTCGAATAAAGCTTACCCTAAATCGCAAGGGTTGATACTTTTCCTTACCCTAGGTTTAATGGGAAGGTAACCAAGACGAAAGGAAATACATACGACAACCAAATATGTGTAATAGGATGATTAAGTCATTAATCTAACTAGTTCTGGGGCAACAAAGCATTGCTAGTGCTCTGTGTTGTCATTAAATGAGTTGTGGGCTTGTTGGGCCCTAGCCCATTTATGTCAGTGGCTATGTTGGACCTAATGAGTCACACACTAACATCTTATTGTCATGATGATCTAGCATTAAAGGTATTGTGCCTAATAATGATTGTTAGCCCAAGAAGAAGTTTGGAAGCCCACCTAAAAGGGAAAAGGGCGCATGGATCATGTAATGGGCTTGGATGGTCCAAGACATTACTAATTAATTATTTAATTAAATTAATTATCAAATATTTAAATTTTGAATTTTGAATTTGAAACTTGAATTTTGAATTTTGAATTGGAATTTGAATTTTGAATTTCGAATTTTGAATTTGAAATTTGAAATTTGAAATTTGAAATTTGAATTTTGAATTTGAAATTTGAATTTTGAATTTAAATGTTTGAACGTTTGAATTTAAATGTTTGAATTTGAATTTGAATTGGCTATGAAAAGTTGTTTCATAACAAAAGGATAAGATAAGATCTTGTTGGAACAAATCTCTTGTATCAAGAGGAGATCTTTGGAGATCACCAAGGGCTATTTGGGGCGCTGATTTGGTGTGATTATAAATGTCATCTAGTCAACCAAATAAGCTCCAATCAGATTTGGTTGGTTGAGAGAATCAGTGAGTGAGCTGGTTCAAATTTGAATGCAACTGCTCAACGTATCTGGACCCCCTTTTGGGGCTGAATGGGGAGCATAGATGGCTGGCCATATAATGGCCATTAGGTCAGAATTTTGATTAGATAAAGATCTAATCTCATGAGGATTGAATGGTAGGTTGTTGAGAATTTTGAATTGCAACAACTCCACCCTTTCTCTCCCTTTATGTGCACCATTTGTGATCCGAATTTTGAGTAGAAAATCTGATTGCATCCTTACTTCCTTTCATCCTTTTGGTGTGCCACTTGTGTTAGGTTTTCCCTAAGTGTTTTGGAATTAACCTAGCCTTTTCTAAGAGCATTCATGCCTCACTTTTATGATGTTTTCATGCTGAAGACTTCACTCTTCTAAACACCTTTACCTAGCCTCCTCCTTCACACATTGGATGCCTAGCAAGCTTTTGTGGTGATCAATTGGTGGCTTTTCAAGAAGAGTTCTTGCATCTTGACGTGGGGTGGTGTGGATCAACGTTAGAGGGTTTGAACCCTTCAAACCTGACACTGATCTCCTTGGTGTTTAAATCACAAACAAAGGTAACATCATACTGTCTTAAAGCACGAGTCTTGATTGCATGTGTAATTCCGCTTGAGAAAATTTTTATTTTTCCCTCTCACATGCTTCGACCTTCAAGGCCTTCGGTCCGAGTGATCATTTGGATCGGTTTTTCAATCAACTCGGTTTGGACAGGTTGACCCGGCCAAGACTCGGCGACCTGGTTGACCCTTTTTTTTGGTTGCTGAGAACTAAATTAAATCATGCTCATATTTTGTGGTAAATATAATAAAAGGTAAGATGAAAAAAAGAAGGTATATTGGATTAGTACAGTTCATTTATGTAATTTAGTTGCATCTTATAATGATATCAAAGAAGTTAAGTGAGAATAAACACTGATGATCTCATCTCAATGGTAAACACTTTCTCCTTAATGTATATTTCATACCTACCATTTGTTATCATGATTTAGTTTATCTGTGTTATGAGTCATGACAAGGCACAAAAGGTGCATTTAGAACCAATTTATTTTTTGAAGTTCATTGATAGTTTTCTTATGTGAATTTTTAAAATAAGTAATACGTTTATATTTTTTTAATATGTGAACAGTAAATTCGGTTGAACACGGTTGTACCTGGTTGAACCAATGAACCAGTATCTCGACCGAGTCGATCATCGGTTCGAGTTTTAAAATACTGGATTTATGTCTAAGTGGCAAAAATGATAATGTGATAAGATATTATAACAATCAAATAGTGTTACTACCAATCGATTTCACCGTTAGATTAATTATGTTGATCCAATGGTTATATTTATTTTCATTTTTGTATGGTTATGATTCTCCATATTTAATACTTTTTATTTATTTCCACCTTTGTATGATTATGATTTCTCATATTTAATGCTTTCACTTTAAATATGGGGAATCATAACCATACAAAGATAAAAATAAATATAACCGTTGGATCAGTATAATCGATCTAACGGTGAAATTGATTGGTAGTAACACTACTTGATTGTTACGATATCTTTCCCCAATGATAATCCCAAATAATATGTTGTCTTGTTTTATTGAGAAATGTTATACTTACAACCTATTTTCGTTTACAACCTCTTACAATCATATTTTAATTATTGATTTTCGTCAATCAATGATTATTATTTATTATAAATTAATAATTAATTAATAAATTTAATTTACGAAAATAATAATCTAACACAAAATTATAAAAAAAAAGGTTATATATAACGTTGCTCTATTTTATTCGGTGGAATAAGTATAACGCTCGCTGGATACTAGATATGAAGGCTTGAGTTCTGAGTTCTGGGCATCGTGGTTGGTTTAAGCTCATCGTGGGGTTTTCATTTTCTTCTCTCTCTCTCTCTCTCTCTCTCTCTCTCTCTCTCTCTCTCTTTACCGTTCGGATCTCTCGAAGGTACTCTCTCTCTCTCTCTCTCTACTACTTGGTTTCGATTACAGCTCTTGTTGTGTCTGTGGTTGGGTTTACATGATGGATGGCACTCAACTGTTTGGCTGAGGAACATGGGAATCTCAATTTGGTGAATTTGAGTAGTTTCTAGGAGACCCATTTGTTTGATAACTGTTCATTTTTGGATTTTATCATCTGGGTAACTCTGGTTCACAATTTTAAAAGTAATCCTCAAACTCAATGCTGTGTTTCTTCTGCAAATTGGGTGCTTCACTTGAATTTCTTCTACAAATTGTTATTGTTAGATTTTTGTGATGAGTGTAATATGTTTGCCTTCGGGGTTTGTTTGTCTGGCTTTTACTATGGATGTTAGAAAGGTTACTGGATATGCTTCTAACCTACTGCAGAAAACTGGCTTGTGTTAAAAAGGGAAAGGATAGATTAAAGTGAAGTTTTCTGCTGTGTACATTTTTCATGCATTAACTTGAGACTTTGAATGAAGTGATTTCTTGAAATATTGTTAGAGCTGATTGAGCATGAAGTTATCTTAGTAACTCCGAGTCTTGTAATTGAAATTGCTGTATTACTAATTGTTTAGTGTGTGATAATACGTAGTTAACGGTGTTGGGGGTTCGAATCCCCGTTGCCCACAACTAGGTAAAAAGGGAAGGACCTTACCATTTGACAGGTAGAAAATCGGGTTAGCTGATCCAAAATTATGGAACTTGGGTGTGAGTATTTTGTCAAAATGGAATAAACTTTTTTTTATGGAACTTGGGTGTGAGTATTTTGTCGAAACAGAATAAACTTTTCTGTTTTCTTTTTTTTTTTAAAGAAAAGAAAACATAAATTTTTTCATAAATGGTGGATATTTTTAAATAAATATAGTATGCCCTAATCTTTTAATTCACTTATTTATTATGCCTCATAATTCTTCCTCGGACAGACTTGAGAAGAATAGCATAGCAAGTAAAGTACTAGTAACACAGCAAAAATGCATGCCTTATCATTAATATGTAATGGCACCAGACAAACAGAATACAATTAAAATGAACACTGCAACTATGAAGAAAATATTAACACCTGCTTATATTGATTGCAACAGAACTCAGCATTACAATGGTATCAGTATACACACCAGAGAATGCATTTACAATAAAAGAAAATAGGAAATGAGCTACCCTCCTTGAATCCCCTGTTACACCCAGCTAAAGTGACAACACACCTAGCCTCAATAGCAATCCCTCCCACTTACTAATTACTCTTCACATGCCTTCTCTATTGCTTTCCCCTCCTTATCAGCTCACCCCCAACCTTCCATCCACTCCCTTGCCCAAATCCTCCTCTCCATTCATGGCTTGCCATGTGGCATTCCTTATAACTAACTCTCCACCTTTCTTATTACGTGTCTCACCTTGAATATTCTGCTCCTCTGCCAATGCTATTTCCCCCCTTCATTTATACACTATCTTGTAAGGCTCCACTGCTGTTGGCCCATCAGTACTTGGCCCATCAATACCCCCCCCTCAATTATCACCTTGTCCCCAAGGGGAAAAAATGGGAATTGTTCTTGTATAGATTGCATTGATTCCCATGTGCACTCACAATCTGGAAGGCCCTCCCATTGAATTAACAGCTCCATCTGACCATTCAACAATTTTCTTGCCTTTAAGACTTTAACTGGGGTCACCCTTAATTCTAGTTCCTCGGATAAACAGCTTGGTAAATTCAGTACTGTTGTTGATGCCTGAACTGCCCTCTTTAACTGTGATACGTGAAAGGTAGGATGCACCTTTGAATATGAAGGCAGCTCTAATTTATAAGCTACTGGCCCCACACGTTCTACAATTTCAAAGGGACCATAAAATCTAGGACTGAGTTTCTGATTTAATCTTCTAGCTAATGATCTCAGTTTATAAGGATGGATCTTTAAAAACACTTTGTCTCCCACAGCAAATTCCACTTCTCTTCTCTTTTTATCTGCCTGTACTTTCATCCTCTCTTGAGCTATATGCAAATTATTCTTCAGATCATCCAGAATTGTATTTCGTGCATGCAGCCACTGTTCCACTGCTGCCACTGGTGTATCTCCTCCTTCCAGTTGTAAAATTGTAGGAGGATCTCTTCCATAAAGAGCTTTAAATGGAGTCATCTGAATTGATCTGTTGTAAGATGAATTAAACCAGAATTCAGCCCATGGTATCCACTTTGCCCACCCCTTTGGATGACCATTGATGAAACAACGCAAATAAGTTTCTAGAGTTCGATTGACAACTTCCGTTTGGCCATCCGTTTGTGGATGATAAGCCGAACTGAATTTCAATTTTGTGCCAGCTAATTTAAACATTTCTCCCCAAAACTTGCTCACAAATAATCTGTCTCGATCCGATATAATAGATTTAGGAAATCCATGTAATTGGACCACCTCCTTAATAAAAACAGCTGCAACGTCTTGAGCAGTGAAAGGATGAGCAAGAGTTATAAAATGAGCATATTTAGTGAATCTATCTACTACCACCAGCACTGTATCCACCCCCTTAGATTTAGGCAACCCTCCAATAAAGTCCATTGAGATGTCCTCCCAAACTTAAGAAGGAATTGGTAGTGGTTGAAGGAGTCCCCCAGGAAAAAGATTATCATATTTCTGTTGTTGACATGTGGTGCAGCCTTGAACAAATTTTCTTATATCCCATCTCATTCCCTTCTAATAAAAAATGGCAGCTATGTGCTTAAAAGTTCTCAATTCTCCTGAATGTCCCCCCCCAAGGAGATGAATGAAATTCTTGTAAAATTAAAGGGATACTTGTAGAAGACTTTGGGAGTACTAATCTGTTTTTGTACCACAAACAACCTGACTTGACATGATACCCAGGATGAGATTTATTATCAGTTAGCACCTCCATCATGATCTTATGAGTACCCTCATTGTGCAGAACCTCCTCTGCAATGGTTTGCAAGTCTGGACTGGTCACCAAAGTTAATTCCCTACACTCTAACCCTTGATAAAGCATCAGCTGCTTTGTTCTCGACACCCGGCTTAAAATGGATCTCAAAATCGAAACCCATCAGCTTGGTTACCCATTTTTGTTGGCTCTCCATCATCACCCTCTGTTCAGGGAGGTATTTAAGGCTCCTTTGATCTGTCCTTATAATAAAATGTCGCCCCATGAGATAGTGACGCCATTTTTGTACTGCAAAAATTATGGCCTTCATCTCACGTTCATAAACAGACAGATTCCTCGCTTTGTCAGAAAATACCTGACTTAAAAATGCTATTGGTCTACCTGACTGCATGAGTACTGCCCCCATTCCTATTCCAGATGCATCCGTTTCCACAACAAATGTTTCATTAAAATTAGGAAGAGCCAAAGTAGGCAACTGAACCATGGCAGCCTTTAAAGCTTCAAACGCAGCCTGTGCTTCTTCTCCCCACACAAAATTATCCTTCTTGAGCAAGTGTGTTAGTGGCCTTGCTACTTGCCCGTACTGCTTTACAAATCGTCTGTAGTAGCCGGTAAGTCCCAAAAATCCTCGCAAAGCTTTCAAATTCGGAGGTACTGGCCATTTGCTAACAGCCTCCAATTTGCTGGGATCAGCCTTTACTCTTGCTCTGGAAATTAAATGACCCAAGTACTCCAATTCTTCCTTGGCAAAGCTGCATTTTTTATAATTAGCATGCAAATGGTTTTGTCTAAGAATCTCCAATACTTTCCGCAAGTGTCCCACATGTTCTTCACCATTTTTACTATACACTAGTATATCATCAAAAAATACTAGCACAAATCTCCGTAAATATTGCTTAAAAACAGAATTCATCAGTGATTGGAAAGTCGAAGGTGCATTACTTAACCCAAATGGCAAAACTAGATATTCATAATGTCCCTCATGTGTGCGAAAGGCAGTTTTTTCAATATCTGCCTCTCATTCTAATCTGATTATAACCAGACTTGAAATCCAATTTAGAAAATATTTCAGCCCCACCCAATTCATCTAATAATTCATCAATAACAGGTAACGGAAATTTATCAGGCACAGTTACCTTATTGAGAGCCTTGTAGTCAGTGCAAAACCTCCAACTCCCATCTTTTTTTTTCACCATGATCAACGGGCTGGAATATGGACTGGTACTGGGACGTATCATACCAGCTGTCAGCATGTCTCTTACAAATTTCTCAATTTTCTCTTTTTGATAGTGAGGGTATCTGTATGGGCGAATATTAGGAATCGAAGCCCCTTCCTTGATTCTTATTCTGTGATCACAAGCCCTCTTTGGAGGTAGTTCAGAGAGAGGTTCAAACACATCCTCGTATTCTTTCAACAGATTGACAATTAGAGGCATTTTCTTCTGCTCATCGTCAGCACTAACGGAGCAATATCCCAATTCCATATAAAAGATCTCTACTCCTTTCTTACAGGAGCGACCTAACCCCTTAGAAGATATTCCACTACAAGATAGTGAGGGATCCCCACTGATAGTTACTTCCGCCCCTTGCCATGGAATTTTAAGCATCCTTTCCTTGAAATTTTCTTTTATATCTCCTAATTCCACTAACCATTCATATCCCAGAATTAAATCCACACCCCTCAAATCGAAGACAAAAAAATCTTGAGTGATCTTTAAATTTGGAAGCACCAATGTCACGTTTCGACAACGGCCAGGGCTCACTACTCTGTGGCCATCCCCAACCTCAACGTTGAATTTCCTCGCTGCATCCATCGGTAAACGCAAAGCTTCAACTATATGGGTTGCCAAGAAATTATGAGATGCCCCCGTGTCGATTAACACCACTACACACAGACCATTTACCTTTCCTAAAAGCTTCAAAGATTTATTAGAAGTCAAACCCACCACACTGTGTACGCCCAAATGCACCGTCTCCTCTGTTGACGCGTCTTGAGCAGCAAGTTGCAACTCTTCCTCACCTGGTTCTTCACCTCCTTCAGCTAAAATCATTACATGCAATTGAGGATGTTGACACACATGGCCCGGAAAAAATGGTTCATAACAACGGAAGCAAAGATTACGCCTCCAATGGTCGTCCATCTCCTCTTGGGAGAGTCGACGGAAACGAGATCCCCTTCGTCTATCGTGGCTGCCTGACGACGCGGCTGTTCGCCCTGCGTTGCCCCCACCTCCATTCTCTTGGTTAACGTTTCGGGTCAGATTGACATTACCTCCACTACTTGCTGTGGTTTGAGTGTTGCCTTCAGATTGAGCCCTACTCATTTGGGCTGTGCTTTGAGGCCTATTTCGGCCACTATTCTGAAAACCCATCCCATTTCCTCTAGTCTCACGGTTGGGTAATGCAGTCCTTGTCCCAAGTCCACCCCACGAACCGGACCCAACTCCATTTCGGCCCAATAACGCTCCATTTTGGCCCAAAATATTCTCCTTCTCCTCTATCCTTTGAGCTATCTTCATCATCTGAGATAGATCTTCTGGAAGATGGACCCTCAATTCTGCACGTATCGCTTCCTTCAATCCGTTTAGAAACGCTGCCTTCATGATCTTGTCATCTGCGTGTTGGAGCGGAGCTGATAAAACTTCGAATTGTTCCCTGAATTCCGCCACAGATCCGGTTTGTCTTAAGCTCATCAAAGCTTCGTATGGATTCCCTGAGATTGAGGTGTGAAATCTCTCCAGAATTGCATTTCGAAATCTTCCCCAATCCACCAACAGATTCCTTGGCTCCCACCATTGAAATCAGCTCAGTGCCTTCCCCTCCAAACATATTGATGCCGTCGCAACTTGTTCTTCCATTGGAATGCGGTTCACACGAAAATAGCGTTTAGCTCTAAAGATCCAGCCATAAGGATCTTCTCCTGTGAAATAAGGCACCTCAACACGTCGTGCTCGTTCATCGTCTCTCTGGTTATTTGTCTCCAATCCTCTGTTTCCTGCATTTCTGTCTGTATTCCCTGCTACTCTCCTTGCCGCAGCCTCCGCTTCGCGATTATCAATTCTCGTCAATACTGCCATGATCGTCTCCTAAAACTGATTGAAATGTCCTTCTAATCCACCCATCCTCGCCTCCCATCGTCTCTCTATTCAATTCTATTCTCCATTCGTGTACGTACCATAAAGCTCCACCAACGGATCGGAAGAGCTCTAATACCAAATTAATGGCACCAGACAAACAGAATACAATTAAAATGAACACTGCAACTATGAAGAAAATATTAACACCTGCTTATATTGATTGCAACAGAACTCAGCATTACAATGGTATCAGTATACACACCAGAGAATGCATTTACAATAAAAGAAAATAGGAAATAAGCTACCCTCCTTGAATCCCCTGTTACACCCAGCTAAAGAGACAACACACCTAGCCTCAATAGCAATCCCTCCCACTTACTAATTACTCTTCACATGCCTTCTCCATTGCTTTCCCCTCCTTTATCAGCTCACCCCCACCCTTCCATCCACTCCCTTGCCCAAATCCTCCTCTCCATTCATGGCTTGCCACGAGGCATTCCTTATAACTAACTCTCCACCTTTCTTATTACGTGTCTCACCTTGAATATTCTGCTCCTCTGCCAATGTTATTTTCCCCTTTTATACACTATCTTGTAAGGCTCCACTGCTGTTGGCCCATCAGTACTTGGCCCATCAATATGTTTGCTCGCGATAATCCTGGTTTCCTAGGAGAATATATGATTTCTTTAAATATGCATTTGCTATTGCTAGTACTAACACATAAGAATTCTTAATTGGTTAGTTTAAATAGCCTTGGATGGTGGAACAAAGGATTATCCCAAACCTACCCCAATGTAAAAATGGCTATTCAATTAAGGGTTTAAAGCATATAATTTTTTCATGTACTGTATTCCTCATGCGTTGATATATTCCTATCCTTGTTCACTTAACTCTGTAAAGCCATGTCTTTCTTCTTTATACTCTATTGTAATATTGAACATGATAGCATTTTAGATTGCCTCTCATTGCACATGATTTAGTTAGGCTATACAATGAATGTAGACATCACTAATATAATGAACCTAGAACTGTTAACATTACCAACATGTCTGAAATATCAGTCAATGTTAAAAGGCAATGATTTCTTTTTCTTTGTTGGTTGCAGTAGCATTTGCCTTTGAAAATTTGTTTGCTCTGTTACCTGTATAATATGGAACAAGAAAACAGCAAGAAGGGCACTGGTAATCCTCCAAAAGAGTCTTCTAATCATCAATTATCAGGAAAAGATGATAGCAAGAAGGATACAAATCATGATGAAGGATCTAGTAAACCGGAGTTAAGTGAGAAGAATACTCCGCAATCATTGAAGTCCAAATCTAAAATCGTTAAGAAATCTAAGGCTGGTAAGTTTAAGACCATAACAAATAAAGGTTTTCAACAGATTGGGGGAAAGAAAAGAAATATGAAGAACATGAAAGTAGTGGGCAAAACTGATGAACCGCCTAAAGAAAAGATTGAGAAGGCTGAAAAGAATAAAGAGAAGGAAAGTCAAAATGGGAGCACTGGTTACAAAAGTCCTATTGAGAAGAGCCATTGGGCTAAAAATAATAAGATCATTAAGTTGGATGAGAGTGAACAAAAACAGAAGAATGAAGCAAATCATAGAGAGTCAGACAAGGGTGCCGATAGTGGAATGAACAAAGATAAGCATAGTGGCATGGAAAATATGGAGTCAAGGGAAAAAAAGAGTGAGAAACTTGGCGGTTTCATTTTTATGTGCAATGCAAAGACAAAACCTGATTGTTTCCGCTATCGGGTCATGGGAGTTTCAGTTGCTAAAAAAGACATTATTTTAGGTGTCAAGCCTGGGACTAAGCTTTTTCTTTTTGACTTTGATCTGAAACTGTTGTATGGGATTTACAAAGCTTCATCTTCTGGTGGTATGAAACTTGAACCCTGTGCTTTTGGTGGTAACTTTCCTGCTCAGGTTAGTTCCTCTCTTTTATATTCCTGCCTAATTTGTCTTGATGTTTTCTTTGTTTATTATGATGTATGTGCTGATGTTTTGACCTTCAGGTGCGGTTCAATGTTGCTTCTGATTGTTTCCCTCTACCCGAGAGCATATTCAAAAAGGCCATCAAGGAAAATTACGACGAAAAGAATAAGTTCAAAACAGAACTTACTCTTAGACAAGTAAAAATTATCTGTTGTCTTGTGGGCTAGCTGTCAGTTTCTTTAATTCTTTATATAGATCATATTCAACTTTCCTGTTTCAGGTTAGGAAGCTTTCTGAACTTTTCCGACCAGTGAATATTCATTCAGCCTTGCAGCCTGTCCATTCCCCTTCAAGAGCAGTAATTCAAGAACGGGAAGCTTCTGATGGTGTTAGGGGATCATGGCACCATTTGCAGAGGGAAAGACCAGCTGGAGATCCTTATATCAATAGTAATGTGAGAAGCTATAATGTGCTGTCTCATGAAAGGGATCCCCAAATCGAACGGCAAGAGGAAATTCCTCGTGATTTATTTCTCACTGAGAAGAGTTATCGAGCTCATGGTCTTCAAGGAGATAGAAGAAACGCGACTCGAGCTTCTCTAGTTAATCATATACCGGATCCTTATCAGAGAGATTATGAGAGAGACTATCAAAATGTCCCTCCACATGTTGATAGCCTTCCTGCTGATCCTCTTCATTTGAGGGAGAGTGAACACCAGACCTATTTTCGTGGTGCAACTTCTGAACATGTAGAGGATCCTCATCATGCCTATCGCTATGGTACTTCAGCAAGGGATCCATATTTGCAGCCTTTAAGTAGAGAGGAAATCTCTTCAAGCTCTTATTTGTTTGGGGGAAGAACCTTGTTGGGGACTGAAAACTTAGAAAGGAGAGAGACTGTTCAAGATAGGCTTCACTCAACATATTCTGCTGCTGATGCTTTGTCTGAATACAATAGGATGCAGCATTACCATGGTGATGAAGCTTCAGATGTGCGGGTTTCATCGCGTTACTCTTTTGCTGGTCCTTCATATTCACTTCGCTAAATTAAACATGCAGTCTGAATACACCTTGTCATGTGTTCCTAAGATTTTCTTCAATTATGGTGATTGACTAACATACATAAAAAATCTGTGAATCCTAATGCTTTTTCTCAGGCTCCTCTGAATTGGGAAAACATTTCTACATTGTGTCTGATATTTGCAAAATGCTGTAAAATTTGAAAAATGCCAATAATAATGACAATTTACCATGCAGGCTGATAAGAGCCTTGGAGTGTACCACCCTAAAAGTTAGCTCAAAGGGTGGGAATGTCCAAGGCCTTATAAACCCCATATTAGTTACTTATACAACCAATGTGAGACTTTAAGTTCCATACCTTGCAAATGGGGTTATAACATTCCACCACGCTCCGCAGTTTTAGTGCCTACGCAGGCTGACTTTGTGCTAGTCCTTTACTAGTCCTGGGCGAATACTGCAATGCCGGCGTAACCATTCGCGTCGCTTGATTGCAATCGGAAGACATAGTGGAAGGCTCTGATACCATTTGTATAAAAGTATCGTTCCACCTGATTCAACCATCCATAAGCTCCCTCACCCAAAAATATAGGCAAGTCGAGCTTTGTACTTGGAGGCTCATGACGAAGAGTTCTCCTAAAATTTTCCGGTTGGATTTGTTAGAATCACTGTATACATGCCCAGATCTCCCTCTCTGCGAACGACGTTTGTTGCTTCGTCAATTGACATTCGTCATTAAAGTATCAAGTCAGCGAAGGATCTCCATCTGATTCTCTGTTCTCCTTGACCCTTTTTCGATTGACTCAAATCTGCCCTCCATTCTTCTAGTCAAGACCATAAATAACCCCGGATCTATAGCCTCGATACCAGTTGATAAATACCAACCGATATAAATTGAAATGGCAAGTAACAGAACAAAATTCTATTGATATTGATAAGGAAATTTGGTTGCAGACACCAATTCCAACATGAAACAAAGGAAATTACAGTGAAAATGGAAATATAGAAAAAGAAAGATAAATGGCAGAGCAATTCGAGGAGTTCTCTAATCCTCCCAAATTCTAATCCAAAATCTGCCTCCCGTCACCAGGCACACACACCACTCTTTTTTTTTTTTTGATAACAACACACACCACTCTTTAACTGCCAAGGCTAACAACATGCTTTTCCCCCATTGTGCCCATTTAGTCATTAACGTCACCCATTCTGTTATGCAGCTGCAATTCTAACAAATTGTGAGCTGACTCAGCAGTAGCAGCCACGTCAGCGGGAGGGAAAATTCCGCTAAATTGCTTCCTGGCATATGTCTTCAGGGCCTATCAGAATCCTAATACTTTTTCTTAGGCACTTCCGGTTTGGGAAAGTGATTCTACTTTGTGTGTGAGATTTGAATGCTGTAGAGTGCATAATGCCTTTGATGATGACAATTTATCGTGCAGGCATTATTAGCCTTTGGAACTTTTCAAATATGTGGTTTATAGATAATTGGAGCAAAGTTTCAATTGATTTTAACAACTCAGGTTGACATGTTTTGCAGTCTGGTACTTTGTGTAGGATTTGTTTGGACACGTTGAATTTGAGGATACCCTGTATGATTTTTAGTTTTTCTATGACTTAAATCTGTTTTAACAATGTTTTCAAAACTGGAAAGGTAAACTGGTAAAGAAAGAGATTTATCAATTAAAGTTTTTAATCTAATCTTCTAATGATTTTGATTACCCTTATTTTGTAAGCATTTCTTGGGCCAGTACTTAACATTTAGTAAGGGCTTAATCATCACTTTGCCTGCTTTATTGGAACATGTTGAACCCTTAATTAAGAACTCAAATATCTCAAATAAATAAACTGCATTCATGAAGCCCCTTTTTCCTGTTTTTACTATGTAAATGTTTCTAACAAAATCATTTGAATTTTCAGTTTATGATCAATATCACTCTGTATCATCCATATCTGCATTGACTATACTTTCAATTTCAAAGTAGTGCTTTAGAGGTATTGATATTGTTCATGGTTCATCACATAACAAAACCGTCGTTAGATTGATATTCAACACTACCTAATGGAAAAGGCTTTGGTTATTTTTTTTTTGGAAATATTTCAATCGGTTCATTGCTTCGCAACTAATCCGATTCGGGGCGGGTCCTAGATTAAGGCTTTAAACTCCTCCCAAAAGTAGTACTGGGGAGATTCGAACACATGCTCTCACCTCCACCTGCTTAGCTCCCATGCGCTAACTGAGCTACCAAATGGTGGCTTTGGTTATTCTTGTTATATATCATAGCTACTACTCTCCGCATAACTTGTGCCTCACATCCTTCTTGTTTGCAAAACGCTGTTTATTATTATTGTTACTTGGTTTAGTTTGAACGTGTTTGTTCAGGCCATATAAACACTTGTTCCAAACTAAGATCTCTAGGTTAGGAATTGGGCCTAAGATTTCTTCCCTAGTCACAAAAATAAAATTATGCCAAATATGTTTAAGGGAATGTATTGGATTTGGATTTTAAAAGATTTTTTTGAGATAAAACATCTTATACATTTTAAAAGACTATTCAGAATTGGAGAGACTTTAAAGATTTTTATAAAACACTTTTTATACAATCAAGATTACATAAGATTGAATTTTAAAGGATTTTAATAGAATTTATAAGATTTGAAAGGACAATATGAATTTATAAGATTTTAAAAAATCATATGAATTTTTAACAAATATTCAAAATTACAAGAGTCAATAAAAAAAGTTAACAAATAAATGCAATGATATTAATAAAAGAAAGTAAAACGTAATATAATTTTCTCAATTAGTAAAATTCATGATAAATTTTCGTTTGGAATTTTTTGCAATTGATCTTGTAAACCTTGGGATTTGTATTCTACGTGATGAGAGTTTTCTAACCATATATCATATGCATGTTTTCATTGAGTATTCCAAGTAAATTTTGAATCTGAATTTCTGGGTTTTATTACATGAAAGTTTAAAAAAAATTTCAAATTATTTTCAATCAATACATTGAAATCTTTGAAGGTTTTGAAAAATAAGTTTTTAGTGATCTATTGACACAAAAATTGTTTGAAATCGTTTTCTATAACGAAGGAATTTCGTTCATGAATGTATTATTATGAAACATAGGGTTCATATTATGAAAATTGGTTTTGCGGTTTTTGTTCCCACGTTGTTTTTCCACTATTTTATGTTGTTTTTAATACAAAAATCACATATTTTTGTACCAAGAAAAATCATGACCAATAGCTTGAAAAATCGTTTTTAAACTTTAAAAAATTGCTTCAAGATCTGCTATTTTTGAGATGAAATCGCTAAAAAATCTGTTATTTTTGATCTTTGACAAAGCTCCCATGGCGAAACTCGGTTTCAAGCGAGTCGACCCATCAAAGGAAGAAGACACTGCAATAGAGAAATCTCAAGAAATCCTAGGAGTTAGGGTGAGATTGTAAGAGAGACATCCTATTTTTATTTCTCACTAAAAAGTCTCATGAAATTCACACCAATAGAAAATCCATTAAAATCATAAGATTTTTGAATACCACAAGATTGTTTTTCTTTTATTTAAAATCCTGATTGAATACCAACGAATTTGGACGAACTCTAATCCTAATCGAATACCACGTGACTTTTTTTCAATCCTTTAAGATCCTAATTGAATACCAATGAATTTTTGTGTATAAAAATAATCCATTAAAATCCTTTGAAATCTCAATCCAATACACTCCCTGAGTCTGTCATAACTCTGAAGCACTATTTTGAAATTGAGCATATAGTTAATGCAGATATGGATGACTGAACGAACAAAATAATGTTGGGACATTGGTCATAAACAAAAAAATGGAATGATTTTGTAAGAAAATCCATATTAAAAAGTGGCAAAGGAGTTTCATGAATCTAACTCGTTTGATTGAGATATTTGCTTGTAAATTCTAAATTAGGGGTTCAACATATTCCCTGCCCTTTTTTCCTCTCCCTCCTTTAACACCCTTGGGAAGACCCATTATTATGCATCATTTTAAGTAATTATATAATTACCAAATAATTTTATTTTTATTTTTCAAAATATTATTTTTAGCTTTAACTTTGAAGTAATTTTTAAACTATGAAAAACCCAGGTTAAACAGACTCTCAACCCATACTATGTTGGACTTCCTCCTTCAATGCTAAGTCCAAGCCCATTGAGGGATTTCCTAAAAACCCTAACCTTAGATCTCACCTCATCTATATATTCATTAGTTGAAGATGGAGGCTAGGTTAAGAGATTTGAGAACAAAGCTTTATGCTTTGCATTTGAGAGATCTCTAGAGAGAGTTTGAGCGAAACATCTCTAGGGTAGTTTTATTATCACCATTGTTGGAAAGGTTGAGTTAACCACAACATTGGTGATTCTGATTATTTGTAACCATTATTTTCATAGTGGATTTTTGATCTGGACCAGGTCCCGTGGGTTTTTACTTCTTTATCGGAGAAGATTTTCCCACGTTAAAACTGGTTGTGTTCCCTTTCTCTCTCTCCCCTGTTTTTCGTTTTTGATTTTTCCGCTGCGCTGCCCGACCTGGTAAAGTTCAGGCTGAGGTATTGCTGAGATCTGAGATCGAGGATCTCATTGACTGACTTTCGCAAAGGCCTCTGAGCCGATTTGAGGGAACCGAGTTCCCAACAGTGGTATCAGAGCCTGGTTCGACGGGTTCTGAGGGAGATGAGATGGAGACCAGTGGCATAACCAATGATGGAGACATGTTCAAGTTGACCGCAGATAATTTCACCTATTGGAGACCGATGATGGAAGATCATCTCTACTGCAAAGATTTACATGAGCCCATTATCATTGATGAGAGACCGGCAGGCAAAACTGATAAGGAGTGGGAGATCCTGAGTCGGAAGGCGATAGCCACCATCAGGAAATATATTAATAAAAGCCTCTTTGAGCACGTGTCCGAGTTCACGAATGCGTATGAGTTGTGGACGAAGCTGGAGTCCATGATTCAGAAGAAGACTCCCAGGAATAAAGCATACCTAGTTCACCGACTTGTGAAGCTTGAATACAACGACATGAGCATGATTGAACACCTCAACACCTATAAAGGTATTGTGAATCAGCTGTCAAAAGCTGAGATGAAAATTGATGATGAGATGCAGGCTTTGCTGCTGATGAGCTCGCTGCCAGAAAGCTGGGATACTCTGGTGGTGACTTTGAGTAATTCAGCTCTAGAACGAAAGTTGAAGATGGATGTCGTGACAGACAGCCTCCTGACCGAATAAGTCAGGAGAAGAGAATGAGGTGTTTGAAGCACGTCAGAGGCCA